AACTTGATGGAAGATGGGAGACACGTGGAGAGTCATGTCCTCCCAAACAAGGATGTCCTAGACCAGCTGGCAGCCAGCCCATCCTCAGACATGTGAGCAAGGTCAGACAAGACCAGCAGAGTCACCATGACAGTTTCCCCAGAAGCATGGGCACTAATAAACCCTATTGTTATGTGCCACTGAGTGTCTTGTTTTATAGCCTTATTATTTTTTATATATGTTTTTATTGATATCATAGAGGAAGGGGGAGAGAGGGAGAGATAGAAACATCAATGATGAGAGAGAATTGTTGATTGGCTGACTCCTGCCCACCCCCTACTGGGGATCAAGCCCACAACCCAGGTATGTGCCCTTGACCAGAATCAAACCCTGGACCCTTGAGTCCACAGGCCAATGCTCTATTCACTAAGCAAAACTAGCTAGGGCTCATAGCATCAATGAAGCAATAGATGACTGGTGCATAAATGTTTAAGCGATATCACATGAACACTATAACAAAAACACAGAATTTAAAAAACCCTGGAGAATGAATAATCCAGTTTCTTTTTTGTCCTGTAGAATTCCCCACATTCTGGAGGGAGAAATGTTATTGATTAAAAGATACTTCAGAGACATATGAGTCAAAAGCAATGTCTGGATCTTATATGAACTAAAAAGGTGAAGGAAAACTCATGAGCTGTCTCATGCTAACTAAGGATAATATTCTGGTTATCATTCAGTATAAATATGTTCATTAGATATTAGATAAATGTTCCATAATCTTCCTTCCTTCCTTCCTTCCTTCCTTCCTTCCTTCCTTCCTTCCAGTCTACATATTTTTCATGAAATACTTTTTGTAACATATTATACAGATAGAGAATGCATAAAAGATTTATAAATAGTTTCAAGATCAATTATAAGGGAAATACCCATGTAGCCACAGCCCAGGTTAAGAACAGAAACACTGCCAAAACCGGTTTGGCTCAGTGGATAGAGTGTTGGCCTGCAGACTGAAAGGTCCCAGGTTTGATTCTGGTCAAGGGCCTGTATCTTGGTGGTGGGCACATCCGCAGTAGGAGGTGTGCAGGAGGCAGCTGATTGATGTTTCTCTTTCATTGAGGTTTCTAACTCTCTAGCCCTCTTCTTTCCTTTCTGTAAAAAAAAAAAAAATCAATAAAATATATATATTTTTTAAAAGAACAGAAACACTGACAACACCCTAAAACTCACATGTACCCCTCCCCAGTCACAGCCCCCACTCAGCCCAGAGGTAACTACCATTATCCCAACATCCGTGATGATGATTTTCTTTCTGATTTTCTTCACAGCTTTAAACTCTATGGATATATCTCTAAACAATATAGTTCAGTTTCACAACAGTCTTTCAACTTTAAATAGGAATTTTTGAGTGAGGGTCGCCCATATTATTCAATGACAGTGTGCTGTAGCTTGTTCATTCTCTTTGTTGTGTTTCACTGTATAGACATTCCAGGAATGGCATACTCTCTATTCCATGGAGGGTGGTGTTTGAGGTTGTCTCTGTTTGTCACTGTTACGAACAATACTGCTGTGAACATCTTATATCAGGCCTCGGGCTTCTCCAGGTACAGCCTGAAGTGGAATTGCCGGGTTACAGGCTCTGCACATGTTTGTCTCCACTAGAAAAATGCCTGTTTCTGAAATGGTTTTATACCAATTTATATTCCTGCTAACATTTTCGCTGTTCCACACAGTTGCTAACATTGCATGTAGACTCTCATTTTTGCTAACCTGGTAGGTATGTAGTATCCCACTGTGGTTTTCATTTGCATTCCTCTGATTATTAATAAAGTTGAACACATTTTCATAAGTCCACTGACAATTTAGGTCAAATTTTATGGTAGCAGCAGGTTCTCTGTTACTAGTTCCTAAGCGTGATCCCTAATGGATACGCCACCAATGGCCTATTGTTGTTATTTTATTCATTCATTACATAAATATTTGTTGAGTACTATTTTGTTCCAGGTACCACTTTTGACACAGGTATACGGTAGAAATAAGATAGACAGAGTCTTCTGGGTTTGAAATGTTGTTTAGACGTGGAAATCAGCAGGCAGTTGGGTCTTTTAAAAAAAAGTTGTCCCTTAAAGGCGTGGTTGGTGGTATGTAGCTTTCAGAGTGATCATCCTGTAGTTACTAATTACAGTTTTGGTAAAACACTTGCGGGAAAGAAAGCGGAAAGAGAGATAAGTCTACAGCTCAGCCCCGGTGCACTCTCTAAGGGGAGGTCTGACAGAAGCAGAGCCAGGGTGGAGAGGCCGGGGGCAAAGGGAAGCCACAGGAGCAGGCTGTCAGTGAAGCTGGAGGAGGAAGCGCTTCTGGGAGGAGCGGAGAGTCATCATGCTCTCTGAGAGGCAGAGCTAGACAGAGCTGGCCACTCTTCACCCTCAAAGGAAACTAAACTAATGAAGCTTAAGTTTCACAGATGGTCACTAGCACAGGCTCCTTCCAGTGCCTGTACCTAATTTTGTACCTGCAGTTTTATATTTTTTTGCTTAGATGACTATCCAAATTGTATAAACTCAAGCCCCACAAAACCCAGATGTGCTGTCCTTCCTCATCCTCCTCCACCTCTCCATGACAACACACATTTCATTGACAGTATTTCCTCCTTCGCTTCTTCTGGCACAGCCCTCTCTTCCCCTCCTCTCTCCTCTCACCATTCCCTAAATGGAGATATGGGCTAACAGTTGGCCTCAACCTTGTTCTCTCTACACTAAGCCGCTGTGAAATTATTCATTCATGTCACCCTGACATGGATAATTCCCAAACTCATACTTCCGGCACTGCTCGCTACCTCCCAAACATAGACAAATAATGATGTCTTTTTAAAAGTAATTTGCCTTGATAAACATTTATCATTTTAGAAAGCTCATAAACAAAACAAAAAAAATGAATTTTTAAAAAAGGAAAGAATTATATACTTGGCTCAGCTAGTATTACTCATTGGCATATTTTTTGTAGGGAAAAAAAACAAACAAACCAGAATGGAGCCTGTCTTAGTAACCTGTTGCTGAATAACAAATTACCCCACAATTTAGTGGACTGAAACAACAACAGTGACCATCTCCCAGTTTCTGTAGGACAGCAATCTGTGTGAGGACTAACCAGGTCCTCTGTCTCTGGGATTCTCACCAGCTGCAATCAAGGCATTGGGAGGAGTTATCATCACCTCAAGGCTTATTTGGGAAAGGATCCATTTCCTGTCTCCTTCAAATGGCATGGCCCAGATTTGGTTCCTTGTAGGTTGGTGCACTTAGGGCTTGAGATCCCTGCTGGCTGTGCGTTGGAGGCGGCCCTCAGTTCCGTGCCATGTGGACCTCAAGCAGCTCACAACACAGCAGATGACTTCATCAGAGTCAGCAAGGGAGGTAGTGACCTCAAGAGAACACTCAAGCCAGATGAAAGTCAGTCACCTGTTGTTTTATTCTATTGCTAGAAGGGAGTCACTAGATCCAGCCCACATACAGTGAAAGGTGATTACACAGAGTGAATACAGGCAGACCTTGGGTTACGTCAGACCACTGACAGGACTTACCATGGTTGATCTTTGTGGTTAAGTCGCCATCTTCCGTTTATTTATTTATTTATTTATTTATTTATTTTTTTAAGTTCCATCATTTTGACATATGTACATATGTGCTTTATGTATTTTATTGTTTATTTACCACAGTAAAGGTCAGGAATTATCCTTTCTTTCTTTCTCGCTTTCTCGCTTTCTTGCTTTTTTCTTCCTTTCTCTCTTTCTTTTTTACTGTTTCACTTCATTACTGCTGTGTATGTGCTCCATTTGAGTGATGTAGGTGGGTTCCAACTACGACAAAAATAAAGTTACCTTGCACCATAGGAATGGATTTCCAACGTAACCTGAGGATCTACTGTACCAGGAGTCAGGGATCATTGGAAGACATTTTAGAAGCAGCCTATCACACAGCTCCTGCCCTCCAGGGACTCACAATATAAGTGAGAAAGCATTATGTAGGTAACTGAGAAAGACTAAGGTGTGCTGGCTCAATCAATGCCAATCAGTGTAGATGTATGTTGCCCTATAGCTGAGTCCCTGTGTTCCTGTCAGATTGCTTGTAACAAATTTTAGATGGTCATTGATCCTCACTGTACTTTGAGACATATTTCACAGAGACTGCCCTCCTCGCCTCCCATTCCAGAAGAACTGCTATAATGATGTAAAATGTGAGCTTAAAAATCTTACTAAGAGTGTGCTATGTGCTTGGGCAAGAATCCCCATTCGTTTATGCAATGCTGCTAGTAGGGAAGGACAGTGTCTATTTCTCGCTTGGTAGTCAAAACTCCATCCAAATACTCCTCTTCCTTAAAAAAAAAAAAAATAGGAGACAACACTACAGTATTTGGATATGAATTATTTGCATTAATTCAGAAACTCAAGTTTCTCAGCTCATCTGCTGAGTTTTCCTCTTGCCATAAGAAAAGAAAAAAAAAGAACAATTGCTTATTTTAATCTCTCTGAAAATTACTCAGCGATTTAATGACTAGCACACGGGCTTATAGTCAATCGTAGGAAACACACGCGATCAAAGTAATTATGGAGTTACTTGCACATGCTGTAAGCACACTTCCCCTGGCTTTATAGCATGTGGCTCTGGGCTCCTAACCTTGGTCCAAATGTGTAGTTCCACCCCACACCAGATGGGGCAGAAGCAGCCTTTCCTTACTCCGGTTTCCGCTCTCCCTCCCTCCCCCCAGCTTCGGTCTCTGTCAGACCCTACCAAGTCAGTGAGAAAGGGGGGACGGCCGTGGACACTGCAGACTTGTGCTCAGGATTGCCTTCTCAAGAGGACTGCATTCCAGACTATGAGATTTGTACAAACATATTCTAATTGTATAAGCTCTTGTGCGTGATAAAACTCCTAGGGCCTGGCCTTTCAAGGCCCAGCATTTTCCTGCCCCCCCCCCCGCTCTGGCAGTGGAAGGTTCGGTCCGGCTTGTGAAGGGCCAACCCGGAAGTCGCCCCGCGGCGCGCGCGGCGCTCTTCTCCCCGCAGCGGGAAGTGGAGCGCTCTGCTGCCCGGGATCCTTGGGCTCCCCGGTTCTCCTCCTGGGTCCCCCCCTTTCTGGGTCCCCCCTGGCCTATGGGCCTCCACAGCGACGGCGGGGGCCCGGCCCCGGGGCGGGCAGCCCGAGCGCGGCCACGGAGCTCCGCGGGCCTGTGCGGCGGGGCCGCCGTGTTCGCCGCCGTGGCCGCAGTGTTCACCCTCACGCTGCCGCCCTCGGTGCCCGGGGGAGACGCGGGTAAAGTACTCCCAGGCCGCCCCTCCGCCCCGCTCCCCGGGTCTGCACTCCTCCCGCCGCGGCTGGGCACTCGCGCCCTGCTCCCTCCTCCCTGCTGTCATTCCTTTGGTCCTCCGGCTTTGGGGGGCTTGTCAAGTTTCCTCTGCTGGGACGGACCGCCCTCTCCCCTTCCCCAGGCCATGTTTCTGGACCCGTTTTGCGTTCCACTCCCGTCCAGCCCACATGCCTTCCCGCTGCGTGTGGTGCTCCGGGCCGAAGGAATGGACAGGAGAGGTGACAGGTATCGCGGAGAGGACGCTAGTGCCGGGAGATAGGCCAACCGCGGATACAGAGCTGCCCGTTACGTGGGGATGATGTTGACAGCGAGAGGGAAGTGTGATGGAGAAGGGGTGGCTAGTAGCTCTTTAAAAAAAAATAATAATAATTCTCTTTCGATTGAGTCTATTGGGGTGACATGGGTTAATAAAGGGATACAGGTTTCTGGTGTACGATTCTATAACCCATCATCTGTGTACTGTACTGTCACTCACCACCCCACGTGACGCCTCCTTCCATCGCCCCTTATTACCTCTTTACCCTCTTCTACCTCCCCCCACCCCACAGCACCCCTTTCCCTCAGCAGTCACCCTACTGTTGTCCTTGTCCAGGGGTTTTTGTTTTGTTTAATCCCTTTACCCTTTTCGCCCAGCTCCTCAAATCCCCTCCCCTCTGACAGCTGTCAGTCTGTTGTCCAAGGAGCCTGTTTTCTATTTTGTTTGATTTATTTTGTGCATTATGTTTCACACATGAGTGAGATCACATGGTGTGTCTCCTGCTCTGGCTTATTTCACTTTGCATGATGCTCACCTGGTCCATCCATGCTCCATGATGTTGCAAAGGGTAGTAAGGTGTCCTTTTGTTTACCGCGGGGTAATAGTATTCCATCGGGTAAATGCACTACACACAGCTTTTCTTTCTTTCTTTTTTTTTAATCTAGTGGCTCCTGAATGGCTGGTCAGGAAAGGCCATGGAAGAGGTGGAATTTTCGTGAATATTGAATAGGAACCAGCCTTGCAGAATATTTGGGGGAGAATACTTAGAGTACTTAAAACAGTGGAAGAAGTCAGGTTGCAGTTTAAAGCAAGCTGTTTCTATTAAAAAGCAATCCATGACTCATGTGCCATTTAAATCACGAGAATTCTTGTTTTGTATTTGGTCCGAGGAGAAACAAGAAGTAGGTTTAGTTTTGCTCCCAATTTGAGTGACCATGCAATAATGGCCAGTAATTTTGTCAGTGCCCTAAATTCAGATAGTAAGTCTGTGGTTAACTTTGCTGCATAACAAGGTACTTGCTTAAAACAACGAGTATTTTTTAGCTCCTATTTCATGTTTATCGGGAATTTGGGTGCTCTTCTTCAGGACAAGGTTGCGGTCATGGTGTAGGCTGGACTGCAGGCCTGTGCAGGCTCAGCTTGGGGAGGACTCGCCTCAGAGCTAAATCCAGTTCTTTGCCACGTGGGTCTGGTTGAGCTAACCTCTGTCGGGAGGAAGAGATGGCCCCTTTGCCATTTTGTAGCTTAATCTTGGAAGTGATATACCATTGCCCTGTTTTAATCGTGGAAGTTCATAACTCAAGCCCCCTCTCGGGGGAGGATCATACAGTGAGAATACCAGGAGGTGGACATCCTCAGGGCTGCCTACCACACACGAGGATCCTTGATGTTCCACTTTCAAGTCATTACCTTTATTCTTTCGGGTCCCATTGCACTTACAGGGGGATGGTTTCATGAGTACAGTGGGGAATGGAGTTACCATGCTTCCAAGGTTTATATTAAACAAGAGAACATGCTTCCAAGGTTTATATTAAACAAGAGAAATAACTTTATTTTTGTGAGAATTTTGACATTGGAGAGCATTAGTCAGGGGGTGGATAGTTCTATACCTTTCCCAAAAGAAAACCACTCACAGGACTTATCATGGTTGACTGAGATTGAAATATTGAGGAGGGGGTGATGAATAATAATAATTAATACTTACTGAGCACTTGCTATGTGCAGGTACAATGCTAAGTGCTTTACATGGATTGTTATTTTAGTCCTCCCAGCTACTAGGGGTAGTAGCTATCAATATGGTAGCTACTTTCAATAACTATAAGGTAGTTACTATCAATATCTTTATAGCCCTGTCAGGTTGCTCAGTGGTTAGAGCATTGGCCAGTGGACCAAAGGGTCTCAGGTTTGATTCCTGGTCAAGGGCACTTACCTCTGTTGCAGGTTCCACAGCCCCGGTTGGGTAGGGTTCAGGAGGCAACCAATTCATGTGTCTCATGTAGATGTTTCTCTCTCTCCCCCCCACCTTCCCTCTAGAAATCAGTGGGAAAAAATAAATATCTTTATAAATGAGAAAACTAAAGCTAAGCGATGTCCAGAGTTACCCAGCTAGAAAGTAGGGGCAGTTAAGGAAATAATCCAAAAAGGTTGACTTTAAGACATGCTCTCTTACCCTTTACTCTCTGTCAGTTTATAATTTTATAAATTGTTTGTTAAATGCGTCATCACATATATAGTGATATTTAGAGTATTTAAAATCTCATTGTTGCCTTGTCTTTATTAATGTTTTTTTTTTTTTAATTTTCCCCCAAAGAATAAAGTTATCTATTCACTTTGAGTTACCAAAAAACTTTTTAGGTGCTCTTATTTGTTTAGTTTGACACTAAATAGTTGTCACTTCTAGTACTGTTGTTCATTTCGGGGAACGATAAATTGTATAATCATATCTTTGATAATTTTATGTTGAATGGACTGTTCTCCTTGAATGTTTGTGTTTATGAAATATATTTTATATCAATAAACAACCCATCTCAAAACTAATAAAGAGCATGTATTATTATTATTCCTGATAAGTCTTAAATACTCCATCAATCCATCCTACTGTGTGGCTTTGCCAATCTCTTGTACCACCTGATACGCAGAGTTGATTTATGGGTAGGAGTGCTCAGTCCTTTGGAGGACAGGGTGAGAATCTAGCCTTCAGGTCAGTTTGTTATTCTTGGGGGAAACGAGTTCACATTCAAATACCATCTTGAACAGACTTGGTGTTTGACAATATAATTACTATAAAATGTATAATATAAAGAAACTCATTTTTAATGATTAAGCATCTGCTAACAATTCTGAGCTGCTACCCATTTATGTGCCAGACAAGTGATAAGAAGTATGAAGGAGGATCATCACGAAAAACAAAAAGCTGTGGTTCTCAAACTTGAATATACTTCAGAATTGCCTGGGAAAATTCAGCCCCAGTGTCAGATTGTCTTAGCGTAGATAGATTTGGGGTATGATCAAGAAATCTTCATTTTTATAAAACACCCAGATAATTTTGATCGCAGATAGTATTAGGACTTAAATTTCAGTGGCGTAAAAGGTTGGGTGGAAGCAAGGACCCAGGAGGATCTTTGTTGTTTTTGACTGTTCATGTTTTTTCCTTTCATTATCATACATAATTTTAAGAGTAATATTTCCCACCCTAGCCGGTTTGGCTCAGTGGATAGAGCATCAGCCTGCAGACTGAAGGGTCCAGGTTCGATTCTGGTCAAGGGCACCTATCTTGGTTGCAGGTCCCCCAGCCCTGGTCATGGTTCTTGCATGAGGCAACCAATTGATATGTCTCTCTCATCGATATTTCTGTCTCTTCCCTCTCCTACTCTCTTGAAAAATCAATGGAAAAATATCCTTTGGTGAGGATTAACAACAAAAAAAGTAATATTTCCTTTTAGCTCTTTATCACAAATAAAGTTATAGGCTTTGATTTGAATGGTAGCATCTTCTTTGTATAGATTTTAGTTTAACTTTTGATAAGAGTTGTTGGAAGTTTTTCATATTCCAGAATTATCCTTATACTAACAGAACACCAGCAAAGAAGAACAGCACATAGGCTTTCTAATGATAAGTAGTTAGAGAAAATGGGCTATATTTGTTAATGTTAACATTTTAAATGGAAGGGAATGACTAGTGGCCTTGAAATTTTGAACTGCATTGCACTTCATTACACCTACAGAAGTTTAAGAACAAAAAATTTGGTTAACATAGTTTTGGAATAAAGACATTAGAACTATCTTATTCTAGAACAAAACTATATACTTGACAATAGTTACAAAGGGAACAGTTATTCGAGACATTTTTAGATCATAAACAATTTCTTTGAAAAGTATGTGAGATACATAAATTACCTTTGGTTTCTAAGGTTTTCTTGACTATCTGCAGAAAACTTAAAATATGCCCTCAAGTAATTGACTTCAATAAGCAATATGGGTCTTTAGGTGCTTTTATGGAGGTTTTATGATGTAAGCAGTCATTTACCTAAGAGGTGTCTGAGGAGCAAGGATGACATATGATAGGTGTCAGTCAACCTCTATGTCTGGAGCTTGAATTAAGAGTCTGTGTGTGTGGCAAGAGGAGGAAGAGGTGGTGATGTCTTGACAAGATCCTGAAGTGGTTAGAACAATATTTGTAACTTAGTGGAAAAGACAAATGAAAGCAACTAATCAGAATAAAAGGCAATCTAAACAAATGCTACATATAGAGATTCAGGCAGGTTCTATAAGGAAGCAGTGATCAATTCTGCTGTGGAGGGAGTATGTGTAAGGAGACATGTCACCAAGAAGGTGACAACTGAGTGATAAGGATTTAGAAGAGGTGAGAAAATGAGCAATAAGAGACATGAAAGAGGACCATTCCAGAGGAACTGTGGGTAATCAGATTTGACCAAGGTGAGCATAGGTTTGTAAAGGGAACTTGAAGCCATAGAGGGCTTGCATGTCACGCTGAGGAATCTGAATTTCATTGAGTAGCCAGAGAGCAGCCATTGAGAAATTTTAGACGAGGGATCCGATCTAACCTTTTGGGTTTGGGGGAGTAGGTATGGGAGTGGCATTTAATAAGTGACTTCAGTATGAAGAGGAATTGAAATAGAAAATTGGTCGATACTATTGTAGTCCAAGCCAGAGTAGGTAAAGGTCTACACTGTGGCTAGGGCAATCAGTAAAAACTAAGAATATTGATATTCATTGAAGGACAGAAAATGGACATTAATACATTTACTAATAGATAATAAAACTTTCATAAATCATCAGTTAATGTTGATTTGATTTCTTACATTGTCCGGTATTACAATATACACGGATGAGTCAAAAATAGTCTGTGCTCTGGATGCTTAAAAAATATTAATAAAACAGTCTCTTCCTCTGCATTGCTGCATTGCCCATCTCCTACTGGGCACCATGGCGGCCCTCAGACCCCTGGTGAGACCCAAGAATGTCAAAAAGAGGACCAAGAAGTTCATCCAGCACCAATCAGACCGATATGTCAAAATTAAGTGGAACTGGCAGGAGCCCAGAGGCATTGACAATAGGGTGCGCAGAAGATTCCAGGGCCAGCTCCTGATGCCCAGCATTGGTTAGGGGGGCAACAGGAAAACAAAGCGCATGCTGCCCAGTGGCTTTCAGAACTTCTCGGTCCATACGTCAAGGAGCTTGAAGTGCTGCTGATGTGCAGCCGATCTCACTGTGCTGAGACTGCTCACGTCTCCTCAAAGAGCCCAAATCCACTGTGGAAAGAGCAGCCCAGCCGGCCATCACAATCACCATTCCCAATGCAAGGCTGCGCAGCAAAGAAAATGATCAGACAGATTATGTACACATTGTATTTGTGTTAATAAAATCACAAAATTCTGCCCAAAAGCAATGTTAACAAAACAGGCACTGAATTAATGCATTATCATTTTAAAAATAATTGCTAATGGCAAGGAACTGGAGAGGGCTATGTAAATAGTATAAGGATTTAATAGTTTGGGGAAAAAATATCACGGTAATTGGAGTTTACCAAAATAATCTGGAGCAAATAAACACGTGGAAATTGTTTAAAAGGTATGCAACCTAATGAATGTAGAGAAGGCATTTGAATGTCAGATGTAGGGCAATATGGCACACCCTTTGGATGTCTGCACTTTCTACATTTCATACGGTTACATCTTTATAGATAGTTTTGTACTATATTCTTGAGGGATAATATATTAATGCTCTCTAAGAGTTTTTAAAAATATTTTGCAAGTGTGTACAACTTTCAGGAGGGAAAATAAATGTTTTTGTAAAAATGAATTCACCTCCTTTTACTGACCAGTTACTAAAAACTACCCAAGATAGTTTATTCAATAAGACCTAAGGTGGAAAATATTCTTAGACTAGTCACGCTGTTAAATCTCTGCAGATTTAGTTTTATCCGGTCAAATTAATGCAAAACCCCAATGCAAGCATTTGGATTTTGAAAACTTTGGAGGAGTGTCATTTTCTAATAGTCATTTATTGGTTTTACATTATTTTTTCACAGGGGAACTGATCACAGCCGCACACGAGCTTGGAGTAAGTATTAGTTTTATTGTTTAATCAATGCTCTCATTAACAGTTTTAGGAATTAAGAAAGTTTAATTAAGCACGGACTAAAGTAGATTAATTTATTTTTAAACCCCAGTTTTTACTAACTTATAAGTTCAGTACGTGACAATTTACTTTAAGTTTTAAATCCAATTACACTAAATTATGAAGCAAAGTCTTTACTATATGTACAGTAGCCGGCTTATTATCACCCTAAAATTTGGTATAAGCTGTGGAGAATAAAATAAATCGGGTTAACAGTTTTTAATAAGTTTATTATTTAATAAACTTTATTATGGCGCATGATCCCTTTAGGCAAGACCTTCGGACTGTCAGCATGGTGGTAATCCGACGGCAGTGTGGTCTTTTCAACTTTCTCACCAATACAGTATTTCAGAAACTGCTTCTTCTTTCTTTTTTTTTTTTTTTTCAACAGCCTTTTTAAATGACCCTCATGTACTATGAACCCCGAGAACAAACTGCTTAAGAATTGACAATGAAATATGTCACCCTTTCTCTAGGTGACATACCATGTGATAGACCCTGCCAAATCCACTGAAGAAAATATTTATTTGTATTGGCACAGAAGGATTACAATAGAAAGCCACTATCAGCCAGCCATTCGCTCTTAATCTCTATACTTGCCCGAGGAAAGGGCTACTTGTTCGTGAAAGCCGGTGTGACCCTTCCTTTACCAGATGAGAACCTTCTAACCGTTGTGAATTTTCCCGCAGGTCGCCCATCCTCCTGGCTATCCTTTGTTCACTCTGGTGGCTAAACTGGCAATTATACTCTTTCCTTTTGGCTCCGTTGCCTACCGAGTCAATTTTCTGTGTGGTTTATTTGGAGCGGCAGCTGCGTCACTCCTTTTTTTCACCGTTTTCAGGTACAGTAGTTGACTAGTTAAAATCCATTTTGACTAACTGGAGATGTGATTTTCTTATAGCCCAAATACAGACATTAAAAATTGAGTTTCGTTATCGTTTGGATGGTTTTCCAATATCACTCATGCGACTCCACTTTCTTAATCTATAGACATTTCATATGCATTTGACCCCTAAATGATTACACAGTCAATTCTGCTTCATACAATGGCATGAAAGTATCACCAGTTCATTATCACAATTCTCTGGTTAGGCAGAACTAATAAGGTTTGTCGTTTTATGAAAATGCAGATGGGCTAGTTTAACTCAACCATAGGAAGTTCATCTTCGGGTAAATGATAAATGTCCTTTCATTACTCACGGTATTGCTGATGGGCAGCTGCCTATCAGGTTCAGAGCTAAGACCCAATCCTATTGTATTTAAATATGCACATGTTGTATACCTTTTGAAATGAGGCTATTAACTAAAGAAATCATTTGGGATGTGGTTTTAGTAAGGTTTCACTTTGTTCCATTATAGCTGTAGGGAAAATAGGCAAATTAGACCCCACTTATTTCATTGATGGAAGGCTTTCTTAGTTTTGAGGGCTACAGCGCTGCTTTTAAAAAACAGGTCATTAGTTTAGGATATTGGTGAACTCATTTGTCTTTGCTATTTCTGTTTCCTTCATTCTTAACTCAGTGTAACCTATGCCTAAGAGGATTAAAGTGAAAAATACAAATTATACTTCCTGCAAAGGGAACGCCAAATTAAAACACTTCTTTCAAAAACTATTGTAGGTTTGATTATAAAACAAATAACTTTTGTATGTAAATATAGTAGAATTTGAACAAACATAATTTCAAATGTCATTTTGGAGGCCAATATTTTCATTTTGGTTAGTCATAATATTGCCCCTAAACTAAATTACATTCTAAATTCTCTTTTAATTATTTATAGTAAGGTAAAAGTTAACATAATTATGACTTTATACTTTTAAATCTATTTGTAGAAAGCTTTCAAATTCAGATGTTATAATTGTTGATCATTCACTAAATTTTTATTTATATTATTTAATTTGTTTATATTTCAGTCTTACAGGTTTTCAGTGATAGCCAATTTTTTAAGTATGAAATGTTTAATATCTCTGCTTGAATTTATTTGTATTATGAATATTATTATATTTTCTTTTTCTAAATGATTAGAATAATCTTTATTAGATTGCTCCTTCTGAGTCTTTTATAATTAAGAATCTATCATTATTTCTGTTGATAGGAAAACTGATTTTTTTTATTTTTAAGTATTCAGGTTGAAATTTAGACTTACCTTTTCTGTATTGAAAGTGTGAGTTATTAATTTCCACAAGACACTTAAGACAGACGTTTAAAGAAAAGTAATACTTGTATTTAGGTTGTTCATCTGTATTTTAGAAGATTATTTCTATAACATATACATATGTTTAAATGCTGTGTGGCTATAAATAGCTTTTATACAAATAAAGAGCTTTGCTTTCTAAAACTTTTCCATATTTTTCAGTATATGAATTGTTGATGCTATTCTATATGAAAACCCCTATAAAAATCCTTATCTTTATAGAATCCAAATAGTTTTTAACAATAATTTCCCTTTGAGTTTTCCTTTTGAGATTTTAAAATAGCTTTTCTTAATTATTATGCTTGTCTATAATGGGTTTTGGATTAGCACACTAGTCTGTAACCCTTTTCTTTTAATATATAGTTTTAGTGATAAATTTATGTACTCGCTGTTACACGTTTTAAACCAAAAACTCTTAATATGATAAACTGAATATTTAAGTTGCTTTAGTAATATAGTACTTTGAAAAAGTTGCTTTCTTTCAGAAAAGGGATCTAACAATATTATCTCTTACATTCATTTTCATATGAAAATACTTCATTATTTTGAGTACAAATAATTGACAAGGTACACGTCCTTTGGGAGCAACCTAGTTCAAGTGGCAAATCTGTTTTGTCAAACAATAGACACCCTTCAGGAGAGAGCAAGCCATCTCTATGGTAATAGGACTAACAGTAGCCTATTGATTGAGTGGAAGAAGACATTATACAATGTCAGCTGGCTTGTTACAATTTCATTTGTTGTATGACCTGAACTTAACCTTTAAAACCTTTCTTCTGTGAATATAAACCCAACCGCAGGATGCAGTTTTTGTACAGCCATTACAGTGACAGCTTTTTTCCAGCCCTACCATACAGTAAATGTATTCCGTTACAGGTTGATTCCTTTATCAGAATTCATTGAGGAGACATTTCACCACTTTATTCATTTATACACCAAATCATCATTCTGTTTTGTTGTTACATGTTGAGGAGTTTTGATCCAGGAAGCTGTTTTATTCTTTTTTTTTTTCCTGCCACTTAAGAGAACATTACTGTACATATGGGATTAATGCTGACTGGTGTGCAGTAAATTAATTCTTTTAACAGGTTTGGGTTTTTTTCAGGTAATTGTTCACATAGCATTCACTATATTTAGCTCTTGTGTGGACATAAAGACCTCTGTACCTTTTAAACAAAGATTGTATTTCAAAAGCAAATTTCTGTTTAAATGTGTTGATGTAAAAAGCTTCACTTTTTTTCAGTAAATATGACTTGATTGAGAGACCGATTTATTCGTTGTTTCCAATTACTATGTAATTTTTGCCTTTCTCTTGCTTTTAAAAGCAGTAAGATGTCATTAACACTGCATTTTTTGGTCAATCTTTTCCAGTGGTTGGCAAGAACTCATTTATTTGCTTTGCACTAATGTGGAAAGCATATGAGTAAAACAGCACATTGAAAGCTATCTGTATCACTGTAGTTTATTGAATTAAACATAGTAAGACTATGCCAGTTGTTTCTGTATGTATTTATGTATTGTCCCCTTCTGGGGAATTTTTAAGCATGCCTAATGTTAAGGGAGTTTAATGTAATACATTTAATTTATATAACATAGAATTCATTTTATTAATGTGTGCACCTATGCATTTAAGACTGTAATACAGTTAATGTTTAATAGTAATTGAGATTTTCTGTTTTTTAAGGCCACTAAAGTAAATGATTTTTGAGTTTGATTGTATGATATTTAAAGTGTTAAATTTGAAATTCACAAATCCCAGTAATACAACCTAAAAAAAAGTTAAAGAAAATGTGAACCACTTATATGAACACCACTTAGTATTGCCTTGTACTTGAATCTCAAATTTATTTCCTAAGAACATGAGACTAGGTCCTATATACTAATAAGGAAGGAATACTGAAATCACTATCATTAATCATCAATGTGCTTACAATTCATATATCCTGGTATCACTAAAAGAGAATGGATAGTATTGCATAAAAACTCTTTACCTCAGGAAAAATTTAAATCGCTTATGATCTCAGATGAGGGCATATCTTGCATCATTTACTTTGGTTGCTACAAGGCAGGGAGTAGAGTCTCAACAGGTTTGAGAGTCAGCATACCCTTTTCAAACTGTTAGGGGCCAGAAGGAGCATTAGGATTGATTCAGCAGTATTTGTTGAGCACTCAGGTGAGTCGAAAGTAAACTTGTTTTAGTTTTTATAATAAAAATTCAGCGCTTATTTTAAAGAAAGACAAAATTACCAACCTTTAAACAGGCAGTTTTTAAAATATTTTCTCTAAAAGGCACTGTTTCAGGAAGCTCACTCTAAAAAACTTTCTGAGGCCATTAATAGTACACAGTAAGAAATCAGATCGTTTAATGCTAAGCAGGTTACCTAGACTATATGAATATTAATAATAATTACAGGTATATGGAAACTATGCCTGTTTACTATAAAGAACCTACAACCAACTTCAGGAATATTTAAATATCTTCGGGAAATTGTTTTGTTCCATTATTTTATTTATAGGGTATTTAATTTTTTATGAGTTGTATGTTTCTAAACATTATGCTGCTGCTAAAAAGAATTTGATTAGGAAAAAGAACACTTGATTCTGAGCACTGTGTCTGCTGTTCGTACAGCTTCAGCTAAAATTCCCTTCAATAAAGAATAGAAAAAAGGCACACCTTAGAAAATATAGAATCTTCTGTTTAAGGGACATTTGGATTTTCCAACTCAAAGAGTATTCTAGATGATTGCGGTAGAAAATAATGTGAAACTCTGCCTAATTTCAGAGGTAACTATGCATAAGTAACAAATAGTCACCAAAATTTTGTAGTTGAAGAAGAATGAAAAGTACTTAATTTCCATTCACGAGAATATCTGTTTTGATCCCTGGTTAATTGATCATATATTTCTCTCATACTTGTATTAAAATTGCATTGACTCAGACTGGGTAAGCACCTTAAGAGCTTGGTTCATTTGCATTTTCTTATAAGTAGAAGGACATATTAGGCTCAAATAACAGCACTTCATTTTGAAGGGGGGAAAAAGCAGGGCAAAAACTCTTTTTTAAGACTGTAGAGTCTTTTCTGACAGCTAGTCAGAGTTAGAATTAGTTCAAGGAAATGTTAATAATGCACCGCCTGGCCTAATCCCTTTGATATCACCAGGTATCCTCCTGTTCATGGGTTAATTGCTTTAAAAGCGAAGGCAATATTCTGAGCGGTGGGCCGCTTCACCTTTTCACAGCTGTTACCATTGAGTGACAACTAAATCCCATGTGTAAGATGAGGAAGAGCTCAATCTCCAATTGGGAGAAAATTTATGTAAACCACAATCCCTTCAGAATGTACGGAAGTCATAGACTTTCTTGATTTACTCTGCTTTTCCCAGAAAGCTCTATTGTTCACTTTCCTAAGTCCCATCAACCCTTTGTAGCAGAATATCACAGCGGCAGCAGATAGCTTGAAATATATAAATGCTATCATAGCTCTGATTAATAGCAGTGCTTATGAGTCAAGTCTGATAACAGTGCAGCTCTCCACTCAATTTCAGATACTGCTAATGGAATCTGTCTTCTCCAATTGTAATATGAGAAGGCCTAATTTGCCATGGAGCTTGGAGCTGTCACCAGTAGGGGATTGTGGGGTCAGATGGG